GGACTACAGGCATGCGCCACCATGCCCGGCTAATTTTTTTCTATATATATGTATTTTTAGTTGTCCAGATCATTTCTTTCTATTTTTTGGTAGAGACGGGGTCTCGCTCTTGCTCAGGCTGGTCTAGAACTCCTGACCTTGAGCGATCCACCCGCCTCGGCCTCCCAGAGTGCTAGGATTACAGGCGTGAGCCACCGCACCCGGCCTGTCCGTATTGACTGTTGACCTTTTCTATCTCTCCTGAGGTATAATAGCAAATCCTTCCATAGATTAAAAAGCAGATGATCATAGTCCCTGGCTAAGTTAACCCTAGAAAATTTGTGGCCATTTAACTTTTTAGAACACAGAGAACACTTTGGTGTGAGATTTTGGCCTCTAGTATGTTATGCTTTCCTATCCTAATCATTTAGAATAATTCATCAATTGAAGCAGCAGCCTAGACTTAGATTTGTTTTACATAAATTAAGCATTCATTTGTTTTCTCCAAATGAATAAAATAGCTGTGATAATATCTCTTGAGTATAACATATTTGTAGAAAGATGATAAATTCAATATTAAAATTAAAAAGAATGTGAATTACCGGAGCTACAATGGAAAACTTATTCTTCATGTTTCCCTTGATGCTGTTGCATGTGTTGTCTGGGCAGTTATATCCAGCTTTAATATTGACTTAGTTTTTAAAAAGTTTGAATTACGGGTCCAAGAAATTCTAGAAAATGCATATCTTAAAATGTATGTCAGTGAATGGAGCTCCCAGGTATAAGAATTAACCGTTTTTGAAACCGGGCAATTTTATGTGCTCAAGGAATCTTCAGAATATCTTTTCACACCTCATTTATTTCCAAGCCATCTGAAACTAAAAATTCCACTGGCCCAAAATATAGTATACTTTTTTAAACTAGAGAAGTAAGAATGGTAAGCAGCTTTTGATTTGCATTCACACAACCTAAGTGATCTGGATATGAGCTGTTCTTGAAGATACCTGTTCTTTCCAAGTGACTGTTTTTGTAGCACATATCATAATGATGCGTGGATATTTATTCAGTGTGCATTATCTATAGTATACAAAATGTCTCATGTGTTAGATAAGGCATAAATGATACTGTGATTTTTTTTTAGTGTGTGTTTGGTGATGAGAAAAACTCTAAAAGGAATTCTGAAGGTCTGATTTTTGAAAGTCACATGGTGGTAACATTGGTTTTATTCATTTTCTCTTTAATGAGATAATTTTTCTCCAGTAGGCACTTTCATTTGTATAGCTTCCTTTGGTTTATCAAAATGCTTCTCTGATAACTGGGAGAAAGAGGCAAAAAGAATTTACAGAATCTGAAAAAGAAAAGGAAAAAAAAAAGTCTGAATTCCAGACTTAACAGCCCCTGCGTTAAAATGTTTAAAAATAAATAAATGTAATTGCTAAAGTAGAAAAAATATGCCTTTTACAAAACTAGGCATCCAGTATGAATGAGATCCTAAATAGCTTTTATGCCTGCCTGAGCTAAACAAAATTGCAGAGTAAAGTCTATAAACCCAAAAAGCCATTTTAACGGGGTCTATGTGGCTCAACATTAATTTTTTTGCTTCTTACATTTAGAAGAGATTATTTTCTCTGTTTCACTAAAGATAAGTCCCCCTGTCATGACAGGACATATCAAGCAGGTGTAGACACATATTCTGGTGACTAGAAAATGAAAGAACCACAGAACTTGAGAAATGAAATTAAAGCTTCCAGCTCTCAGCCCTCAGCTTGAAACAATTAAATGGTGTTATGGGGAGATTAGTGTGCAGTGTTGGGAATCGTAAGCTATAAAAATCGATCTTCACTATTGTGATCCAGTATGACAAGTGATTGAAAGGGTTGTGTTCTCCACTATTGAAGGAGGGAAATCAGTCCTGCTGGGGTTTGCTTAGATTTTCTTCTGTTTGCAAAGTTTCCTGCATCCCGTTATAAAATATTATGACCCTTTCCCCCACCTTTATGATGTGGTTTTCTTTTTTCTTTCCAAAAGAGTAAAAGAGAATGAAATGTTTCTTTACAACCTACCGTTCGGCTAGAAAGTAAGGGGCTTCAAGCTTCATTACTAGAGATACTCAATTATATGGAAGTAAATGAGTAAAATGGTATTAACTCTGATTCTACACAGTTAACTAAACATTTCTTTCACACTGTTTAAAACTGAAAGTTAACCAATTCTCATTTCCTATGTTTTTATCTCTGTTTTATTACTTTTACTGTTATTCAAATACAGATTTCTTTCACAGCCAATCCTGGCCTCCTTTTAAAGTCAAAATGCAGATTTTAGTTTGTTGTTTGAAATTCCAATAAAAGTTTTTCTTTTCAATATATTGTCTTACAACTTCAAAAATTTGAATTCTCATTTTTAATAACTTGAATATTTTAATTTTTAATTTGAGGTAAGAGAGTACAAACTAAGACTTATGTATTAAAAGTGGAAAGTGTTGGTAGAGAAGGAAAATTGTCACATTTTAGGAATGTTTTTGTTTTCATTTCCAGAAGTGTATAATAAAAGACAAATTTTATAAATAATTTTATATCCGTTAGCATACAATGTATTTTACTCAGCATGTTTTAAATAAAAAGCCAGTTTTCCTTTCCCCTCTTTCCTTTTATTCTCTAGATTTAGTCTCCCTCAGACTTCTAACACTATTCATCCCTAATAGAAGTGGAGCTTTCTTTTATGAGGCTCCTTATAAACATATTTTTTTTCTTTTGAATTGACTCATTTCTGCATTTAGCCCCACCCTTTACTTTTATTTTTGCATCTGTGCTGTGCTTACTTTCAAATAAAAAATTTGTATTATAATTACAAGCAGTTAAAATTGTAAATGTACAGATTTAACAATTTTATGATGTGCATGAGTTTATATAAAATTTTGCCATATTTTAAAAATGTGTTAATGATTCTGGATATACAATTTAAAGAGAGGTGATAGTAAAGTAATATTACAGATTAGAGCTAAATATGTACATTTTTTTCCTTATTTTAATTTCTGTTTGGTTGCTCAGTGATTCCCTAGGAAAAAAGAAGTTGAATATTGCAGTAAATCTTAAGATAGTAACTTTGTACCTTTTTTTTAGAAAGAACATCTTGGTTTTTTTCACTGAAGAATTGAAGAACTGAAGAGTGTTGAATCTGCATTCAAAATGTGGCAGATTATCCTTTTGTTTATAATATAATGTATAGCCAAACTGTGGAGTATTAAGTGTTACCTGATTAAACCCCTTGCCTTCAGCTCAGACTCCATGCAAAAGAGCTTTTCTTTTCTTTCTCCAAATCTTAGAGACATGATTCATAGACTTGCTTTTTCAAAGCATTCCAGTCAAGAGGTTCTTTCCAAGGTTTAATTTCCATTCCCTGTGAGGTATATAAAACAAAGATTATTATTCTCATTTTATAGATGGGAAACTTATACTCAGAAAAATTAAATGATTTTGCCTGGGATTTTTCATAGCTAATAAATAACTATAATCTAGATCTCTTGATTTATTGTCTAATGTCCTTAGCTTGTTGGTGTTTTCTGTTTTTAATGATAGGGCATGATTCCATGAATTTATTTTCATATTTACCTCAGAAATTTTGTCATTTAATTGGAATTTTTTGTACACAGTGATTGTCTTTACATCCTGTTGCTGACAATCTAGATGGAGAATGAGATTAGTTTACTTGCCCCATGTAAACAAATATTCGAACCTTATAATTTCACAACTCTTGTTGGTTAACATATTAGGAAGAAAATCCAATTCCTGGGCTAAGCGATTAACCTTATTGGGGACGTGAGCAATTCTAGTAAGGCTTATTTATTCAACATTTTAATCATGATTGGGCTAAATTCTGTGGTCCTGTATCTTTATAACATCTGCTAATAGGTGTATGTTTTGTAGTTTTGATTCTAAGACATCTCTATTAAAAGACAATACTGTAATAAATTGATTAGTATAATTTTTATTTGGAAGAGTAGTAAGGCTCTATACTTTTGATCTCTAATGTGCTAATGAGATTTTCATTTTACAGCAGCTTACTTTTCCTAACAATTTCATAATTTTTCCTTTTACAGCCAGACACTGAAATTTTTCCCATAAATTTTACATTTCGATGGCCTTGTAAATGAAAGGGAATCATTTTTGTGATCCAGAAATGTGATTTCACTGAAAGCAAACTATTTTTAGTATACCTTTGAATTGTATAACCTTCAAGCAAATTTTGGTGTAAATCTAATTATGGTAGTCATGCTCATGCCTTTGAACTGACTTTGTCATTGTTTACAGAAAGGCAAAAGCAGCCACTTCCAGGAATGGAAGTAGTAACTAGAAATATTAAATCTGTGTATTTAGAGCTTTCAACTTTCAAACTTTACAGCAATTATGAGTCTACTTTACGCTGAATGTTAACAAGCCATTTTGAGTGTAATCACTAGGCATTGTCTTTTGTTAGTGTAACTTTTCCCTGCAAACAATGCCAAGTGTTAAAATTGTTATGTTGCAGATTTGCCAAGAAAAAAGGTTTGAAAGTTGCCTTTTAAAAAGTAGTCTAGGAATATTGCCAAGATCTAATTTTAATTCCATATCCTCTAGTAGTATTTGCGTTTTTATTATATCATGCTTCTAGTCTTACTCAACTTTTAGAGTGTCTGGAGACTATAAATAATATTGCCTTGATAATGAGAATATTTGGTAAGAAAACTACTAGACAGGTATCCTTTACCATCAGTTTTATTGCTGCCATTTTATTGTTGGTCATTTCAGAAGTTTTTGAACATCAGACTAAGTTCTGTGAACATGAAATTATATGGTTTTGCTTTGCAGTGTCATCTAAGAGTATGTGATGTATATTTATGGGGAGTATATATATTAAGACATTTGTAATTCTTTGAAGTGTTTGTAATAAAACTAACATTTTTCTTAGGTTTAGAGATAAATAGTGGAAAGTTGCCCACAAACTGTTAAAGATTATGCCCTGTTGTAGGTGGCTCCAGAAGAATTTAAGACCAGCATTGGCCGTGTGAATGCATGTTTGAAAAAGTCTCTCCCAGTCAATGTGAAATGGCTGCTGTGTGGGTGTCTCTGCTGCTGTTGCACACTGGGTTGCAGTCTGTGGCCTGTTATTTGTCTCAACAAAAGAGTGAGTAATCATTTTATTGTATAATAATAATAAGAGCCAACATTTATGGAACACTTACTGTGCACCAGGACTCTTTCCAAGTACTTTACGTGGTTTATTTAATTCTCATAACAATGTTATCCTTTTTTTACAGTTAAGGAAACTCAGGGACAGAGAGATCAAGTTATTTGTCCAACCTTTATCAATACTTTATCACTTAATAAGGGTTCCCATCATTTTAAATAAATGCAACGTAAGTGAAGTACTTAAGTAATTATAAATGTAGGTAGGCTACTTACTCTTTTTATAAAACCTGAAGCCATGACTTAAGTTATTTCCAAGTTATGGGTATATGGGAGAGCTTCTTCTGATCTGAAGAAAAGCAGAAGTGAAAATAACCTACAAAGTTTGGGGGAAAATCCTTAGTTTTGAACATATTATAGTAACATTGTAACATAACATCACTAGTTATGTCATGGATTTAAGACTACTATCTTAATCTTGTCTTCTTTAAAATTTCATTTTAGTTTTTGACATTCTTTTCCCCAGTGGGAAGATATCTTTTAAAAATTTTAATTAAAGCCAATGAGGAAAACTAATTCATTTTTCCTAAAGTTTTTTTCCTAGTACCATATTAATGATTTCATTTAAACCTTTAAGTAATATTTAGCCCACTAAATCAGATTGAAAATTATAGTACCTTGTGGAGGAATAATTGGTGGCACAGTAGTTTCTTTAAGGCCAGAAATATTCCCAAGAAGTACTCATTATTATTTTTCCTCTCCATCTTTTTCCTATCTTCTTTAATGTCTGTTTGAAAAAGACAAATAATAAAATACTGCCTATGACTTTTTAATGGGAAAGTTAAGCATTTTATCGATTCCCTTGATAACCACTAGTTGGTCAGAGCTTTACTTTAAATACAGCTTAGTTTATTGTTTGTCAAAGCATGCACAATATTTTCATATGGCTTTCTATTCAGTAAAAAAAAAGCTGACGGCATAAGTTCCTTTTCTTAACTATTATATCTTACTTTTAAAAGTTATGATCTATAATTCCTACCTATCTCCATTATTTTAAAAGCTTCAATGTGAATTAATCATGATTTGGATTTCCCATCATATAAATAGAGCCAATCTCAATTACTTAAGAAGAAATTTTTTGGTTTTAATGTTATCCATTATCTGTCTTTTTTTCTGATGTCCTGTTTATGCTTTGCCTATTTGTAAATGCTTCCACAAGAAGTCCTGAAATAAGGAAACCTTTTTTTTTTTGATCATTTGATTTACTGTGAGCGCTTCTAATAGAATATTCGGTGGAAAATAGGATAACACGGATGCTGTGATCTCTCCCTGTTCTTCATTACTTTGGATAATTAAGAGTTCATACTGGAGTTCGAAACCAGCCTGAGCAAGAGCGAGACCCC